GTTCAGTCACTAAGTCGTGTCCGACTCTTGCAACCCCATGGACTGTGGTCTGCCAGGCCTCTCTGTCCATGCAGTGCTCCAGGTAAGAATCCTGGAGTGGGTTGCCATTTCCTTTTCCAGGGGATCTTCCTGACCCAGAAATCGAACCCAGGTCTCCTGCACTGCAGGCAGACTCTTTACCAACCGAGCTATGAGGGACGCCCATAACAGAAGTCAGTGAATGACAGCTGTCCCTAGACAGCACGTTGTCAGGAACCCGTTACCTGCATTTCTCATTGGACTGTAATCAGCTATGATAGCTCCTCCCCTAAACCTCTCCCAGATGCACTTGTGGCTACCTCTATGTGAAAAATTCTTTCACTTGTAGGTAAGAATTACCTCTATCAGAAGCAGTTAGTTTTTCTTAAGGCAATAATAAATAGCTCTGCTGGTCAAAACTCCATTAAATGATTTATTGAGCAAGGCTGTTGGAATTATTGACTAAAGCACATCATGGAGATATTTTTCGGACCTCAAGTTCCCAGGCTCCTCTTGTGTTTAATTGTTAGAAATTTTTGAGGATGGCAATACATACTCCTGGGAGAGGAAAGAAGTACTTTTAAGGAGAGATGGAACTTGAAACAAAATGGAAAGATAAAGAAAAAAGAAAGAAACACTTGGCACATTCTATGCAGCCAAGCATCAGTTGATTTGTATCTACCCCTCTTTCCTTCTTTTTTTTTTTAATTTTTATTTCCCTCTTTCTTAAGTTACCCTAACTCAAAACAGAATTTTTTTCAAAGTCTGAAATGGGATATCTGTTAGAACTGAATCATGGATAATATACACGAAGTGATTATTGCTTTAGTTACCCAGTCCTGAACTCTTTATTTCTTATTGCACTTCTCTAGAGTTGCCAGAATTCCACTATATATTCCTTTATGCTTATTCTAGCAAAGCTGAAAACAAGGATCTGAGAAGAAAAAAGAAGAAACTCTCCCCCCACAATCCACCGCTGTGCATCGTCTGTGTGTGTCCACCTAGTTTTTTTTGTTTTTTGTTTTTCTCCAAAGAAACAAGTGCTGTGCTATGCATAGTCACTCAGTCATGTCCGACTCTTTGCGACCCCGTGGGCTGCAGCCCACCAGGCTCCTCTGTCCATGGGCTTCTCCACAAGAGAATACTGAGTGGATTGCCATGCCCTCCTCCAGAAGATCTTCCCAACCTAGGGATCAAACCCAGGTCTCCCACGTTGCAGTTGGATTCTTTACCATCTGAGCCACAAGGAAGCCCAAAGAAACAGGCTTTAAGAATATAAAACACAAATTTAGAAGACATTGTTTTCTGAGATCCTCATTTTTCATTAAATTTTTCATTAAGTGTTGAAATAAAAAGTGTCCTTAGACCCTGCCTAGCTCAGCGAGATTTCCAGCTGACTCGGTTCTTGTCCCGCCAACCCCACTCTGCCTTCTGCTGCTGCACAAGGTATCCTGGCCCAGTGTTCTTAAGTTCAGTGCTTTAGGATCCTGGGGCATTTAGCGGGGAGGTGTCCACTCACGGCACATTCAGTGGGTGTTTCAGATCTGAAACACACATGGGCTGCACTATAGATGGATGGTCCTTGGAAGAGATGTTTCTCGCAGATAAGGTGAAGGACAGCTTCCTGCAGGTAAGGTGGAGGCTTTACCTGCTAACTAACCAAAGAAGCCTTGCTTCTGTCACTCAGAGGGACACACGCGCCCGGAAGCCCTGGAGGCACTGCTGTGGGGCTTGTCTTCCTGGGCCTTCTTCCTCCTTTGGAATCTGACCCCTCTCTTAGATCACCTCCTCAGCCCACCATCCCATTTCTGTTTTCCTTTCCTGTTCAATGAAAATAGATCCTCCGTGTTGATAAAGTGTCTGGCATGCTATGCTGATGTTTTTTAAGCAAGCAAGCAGTCAAAAGCCATTGGGCGTTTTTAATCATGACTCTATATTTGCACAGATTCTTTAAGCAGCCTGGGGAGAAAAACCAAGGGTCGGGAGAAGGCATTTGAAGAGTGGGCGAGAGGTGGGTAGGGCAAGAACAAGGCAGAAACTACCGTGCTAAAGAGCAGAGTCACTCCTTGCCCCACTTTCTGCTGCAGATCCTAGGGGCCCGTCACTTAGCCACAGGTAGCAGGCCCTTGTTGATACACCTGCCACGCTTTGGCAGCACCCTCCAGGTATTATATTCCCTGGATGCGTTTCTAAATATTGTCAACCCTTTATCACACCCCTGAGTATGCAGCACCGAGACCGTGGTGATGGAGAACGAGACCCATCGGGTTTGCTGTGAAACATGAGGAGCGCCTCATAATGTTGCGTCACCCAATACTGACGCTGTTCACACAAGATGTTATATTATTGTAGCCCTAATGTCAAAGACTAAAGGCCACATGTATCTATCATTAAAAACCCAATCAAAACCCTGCTTGATATAAGGGACATGCAAAAGGGTCCCTGGGCTTCCCAGGGGTCTCAGTGGTAAAGACTTTTTCTGCCAACGCAGGAGACCTGGGTTCGGTCTCTGGGTCGGGAAGATCCTCTGGAGAAGGAAATGGAAACCCACTCCAGTACTCTTGCCTGGAGAATCCCATGGACGGAGGAGCCTGGGGGGCTAGGGTCCATGGGGTTGCAAAAGAGTCAGATGTGTCAGCAACTAAACAACAAAGCGCCCCCGTTCCGCTTTCTGCTGCTCTATCACATTGGAAACGAACGCGTGTTCTGTCGTGGCAACGCAGCTACTAGAGAGAAGGAACAACTCCCAGCTCAACTTTCTTTATACTTCTACCTCCTTGTATTACGTTATTGAACCATGAACTCATATTAGAAACCTTAAGTCTACACTTATTGCCAAATATAATCTTTTGCGAGGTATGTGGAAAGTATATACCTTCTTTCAATTATAAATGTGACCAAGTCAAATTCTCTCGCACCCTCGTTTCCCAGTGAAGTAAAAGAAAGTACCAAAAATGGAGACGTGGGACCTTCCACCAGGTTTCAGCCCCATGTAACTATTTATGCAATTCCGAAAATACAGTTTACCATGTAGGGTATAAACCCTGTTTTCTCCCCATGAATTGTATGTATCTGCGGAAATTAAAGGTGTTATTAACTTAAATCTTGGCAGAGCCTCATCTGTTTTAGCGCTCACCAACCCACACGGTAATTACTATTGCTATATACAGAGGAGTTAACACTGGCAGGATGTCTGCCCTCTAAGCCTGCTTTTAAGAACCCTTCCCATCTTTGGAGTGGAGGCCTAGGGATTTTCTTCCTCACTTCTTAACCCTAAGAGAGATTTATTGTACCAAGTCTGGGTGGCTGATGATGGAAAAACTACGTGATCATCACTGTACCTGTGGGTAAGATGGGAAGGAGCAGACCCCGGGGAATTGCTCTGAGTTATTACAGTCATGCAAGGTTGAAGATTTTGTCAGAGGGTCAGGGTGGAGAGATTGAAGACAGCAGGGAAGGGAAACATAAGTGAGCAAATTAAGTGAGAAGGGTGTTGCTTTGAACCTGATTGCTAGGTTTTGGCATTGGTTCTCTTTTTCTGTAAGAAGGAGCAAATGACTTATGCTTTGCTTTCTAACATGAAGATACCCAAAGCCATATTTGTAAGGAAGTTGTGTGGTTAAACAGGAGGGACGCTGAAGGCAGAAAGGAGGAAGGGAGCGTGGAGGGAAGGAAGGAAGGAAACAATAGGCGTGTATGTCATTCACACTGTTCCTGATGCACTGGCCGTGCGCACAGTGGGAGTGTTGGCAGCAGCCTAGTTGATGCCACCTCATTACAAAACTTGTGTTTAGAGCGACCCATGTTAATGAAGGGGCTTCCCAGGCGGCTCTAGTACTAAAGAACCTGCCTGTCCATGTAGGAGTTGTTAGGGACTCGGATTTGATCCCTGGGTCTGGAAGGCCCACCTGGAGGAGGACATGGAAACCCACTCCAGTGTTCTTGCCTGGAGAATCCCAGGGATGGGGAAGCCTGGTGGGCTGCCGTCTATGATATGATCAACTCTAGGTTGATCCATGTTGCTGCAGATAGCATTATTTTGTTCTTTATTGGGGTATTAAGTATCACTTTAATTAAGAATATTTTCTTGAAATATACATACTGAAAAATACATGACTGTAGAGTCTGATGAGTTTCAAAACTTGAATACACCTATGTAATCAGCATGAAGGTCACGAAAGATGGACCAGCATCCCAGAATTTCCTGACCAGTGCTCCCTCCCAGTCTCCCAAAAGTAACCACTAACTTGACCTGTAACATCATAGATTTGTTTTGCTTGTTTTCGTACTTAGTTTAAATGGATTCTACTCCTCCATGTCTGGCTGTTTTTATTCAACAATATGTTAGTCTACTGCCAATTATTATATTATCATTTGTTCACATTGCTGAATAATGTTGTGTTATGAAAATATATCTTGATACTGCCAAACAGTTTTTAAAATATATGTACTAATTTGCAACCCATCAGCAATGTAGGAGAGTTCAAGTGACAAAATATCCTCCCCAAAACTTGGGATTTTCCATCATTTTTCTTTTAGCTATGCTGGTGCACAAGCATTGATTTTTAAACTGACTAAATAAACCTCTAGGAAGCCATACCAAACAAAGATCTTTATTTAGGAACCAGTGTGTGCTGGAGGTGGGAAGGGGCAAAGTTTTATCAGTTGGAATGCTTCAACATCAATACATTCAAAGAAGAAATACAGCTTGAACATCGTAAGCAGAAAGGTCTCAGCACAGACCAGTGGTTTTCTTGAAAATGCCACTTTATTTCCAGAGAAAGCCCTTCATATGGAAATGAAGAGATATCTATATGGGCTAGACATGTATGGAATCTGAAAACTGACATTTTTAAGATTTGTGGGGAGAATCGTGGGCTAGAAGAAAATACTAAGGACTTTATAAACTACACCACGAACGACATGATTTCTATACAAAAGCAGGAGGCAGTGGTTGAAGTGTTTTTCTTTTGCTGTTGCAGGGTCTCCGTTCTGGTGCCTGTTGGATATCGTCCCCATAAAGAATGAGAAAGGGGATGTGGTTCTTTTTCTGGCCTCATTCAAAGATATAACAGACACGAAAGTGAAGATTACTCCAGAAGATAAAAAAGAAGGTTCGTGTTGTTTTCAGAAAACATTGACAGATGGAATAACATTTTGAAATTGTTTACTCAGAAACTCCAGTAGGAAAAAAGAGTGGTTTTTAATAACAGCAACTGATAAATATTCATAACTCTTAGCAGTCGGTATCTGGTGCTTTTCCCAAAATCACAGTCACGTGAATTTGCATTCTCCTGTTTGTAGCGAAGATTCACTTGACAGGAACCAGAAATTTGTATTCTGATTCCAGGAGGATAAGGATGGGAAAATGTGTATCAGAGTACACAGATTCATGCCACCTGGTTCTTTCAGGGGAAAATATAAACTGATAGCGATAAGTGAAGTTAAAATGAGACAATTAAAAATATAGCTCTCAGTTTAATATAATGTACAGCAGCTCAGAACTTAAAAGTGCAAGATTTCATTTTAGGTACAAAATCCAGAACTCAATTTAATGCTTGTTAGAGTGGAACGTTACAGATGTGTATCTGTATCTGGCAATAATAATTTGTGTTGACATAGACAAGCTTTTCAATGATCTTTAAAGGATTCTAAGACTTTATATTGCTTACCTTGCAGCTATTGCTTATAGTTTATGAGAAAATTCCCTGCATTTATGCAAGCAGACAAAAATTAACACTGGAAAAATTGCCCATATTATTTTGTTTAAACAGAAGCAGAGTTAGATATGTTGGTGACCAGAGAAAAAGCAATTATCATTGTAGGCATTTCCTACAAAGTTCTTTATAAGAATCAGCTATTTGACATTTTAACAACTATGTCTTTTTAAACATGTATGTGGGTGTTTTATATATATTATGTCCATTGAATGACAACACAGATTGAGAGCTATTTGGTGCCCCCACCTCCCAACATTTATCATTTGGAATGTTTGCAAATGCATGACTGTTTTCCTGTGTATTTGCATAACTAAATATTGTGGGATATTTTACATACAGGAGAGGCAAGCATTCATATCAGTAAAGTTACTTGAATATCAGAGCAAGTGTAATACCTGTCTAAGGAGAGAAAAGTGTGTGAACAGGGGCACACGATTTTTGTGTTTTCACAATTTTCTTTGCTATTATAGGAAGACAGAAGGTAAGTGTGAAGTGCATTTACTTAGAACACCTCTAATACCAACCATAGGTTTTTTCCCATGCTGATGTTGAAGCTGAAACTCCAGCACTTTGGCCACCTGATGCGAAGAGCTGACTCATTGGAAAAGACCCTGATGCTGGGAAAAATTGAAGGTGGGAGGAGAAGGGGATGACAGAGGATGAGATGGTTGGATGGCATCACCAACTTGATGGACATGGGTTTGGGTGGACTCCGGGAGTTGGTGATGGACAGGGAGCCCTGGCGTGCTGCGGTTCATGTGGTGACAAAGAGTTGGACACGACTGAGCGACTGAACTGAACTGAAATGAACCACCAGTTCTGCAGCTCTCTGGACTCTGCGGGGTGTCCTAAAATTTAATTCAGTTCTGACACTATTTTTGCTGTCCACTCACTCAGTAGTATCTGACTCTATGGGACCCCAAGGACACACACCAGGCCTTTTTGCCCATCAGGAACTCCCGGAGTTTACTCAAACTCATTACCATCGAGTCGGTGATGCCATCCATCTCACCCTCTGTCGTCCCCTTCTCCTCCTGCCCTCAATCCCTCCCAGCATCAGGGTCTTCTCCAGTGAGTCAGTTCTTCACATCAGGTGGCAAAAATATTGGAGTTTCAGCTTCAGCATCAGTCCTTCCAATGAACATCCAGGACTGACCTCCTTTAGGGTGGACTGGTTGGATGTCCTTGCAGTCCAAGGGACTCTCAAGAGTCTTCTCCAACACCACAGTTCAAAAGCATCAATTCTTCTGCTCTCAGCTTTCTTTATGGTCCAACTCTCACATCCATACATGACTACTGGAAAAACCATAGCCTTGAGTAGATGGACATTTGTTGACAAAGTAATGTCTCTGCTTTTTAATATGCTGTCTAGGTTGGTCATAGTTTTTCTTCCAAGGAGAAAGTGCCTTTTAATGTCATAACTGCAGTGACCATCTGCAGTGATTTTGGAGCCCCCAAAATAAAGTTTGTCACTGTTTCCATTGTTTCCCATCTGTTTGCCATGAAATGATGGGACTGGATGCCATGATGTTAGTTTTTTGAATGTTGAATTTCAAGCCAGCTTATTCACTCTTCTGTTGCCTTCATCAAGAGGCTTTTTAGTTCTTCTTCACTTTTCTTCACTAAGAAGGTGTCATCTGCATATCTGAGGTTATTGATATTTCTCCCGGCAGTCTTGACTCCAGCTTGTGCTTCCTCCAGCCCAGCGTTTCTCATGATGCACTCTGCATGTAAGTTAAATAAGCAGGGTGACAATATACAGCCTTGACACACTCCTTTCCCACTTTTGATCCAGTCTGTTGTTCCATGTCTGGTTCTAACTGTTGCTTCTTGACCTGCATACCGGTTTCTTAGGAGGCAGGTCAGAGGGGCTGGGACTTGGAATGAACATCAGAGTCCACAAGTGTAAGGGTCCCCACCCTGACACACAGCCTGGTCACAGGTACGGTGCCCAGGCCCCACATGTTTCTGTCCAACTTGACTGCAATGTTGGGAATTTCACAGCCCTCCCCTTTCTTGTCATATTTGATAATTTGCTAAAACTGCTCCTAGAACTCAGAGAAACATGTCTGTTATGGGGAAGGCTATAACTTGGGAACAGCCAAATGAAAGAGATGCTGGGGCAGGTATAGCGAAGAGCCTGGGGCCGCCACGTGCTCCCTGGGGCCACCCTCCCTCCCAGCACCTGGGTGTGTCCCCTGGGTCTCCTGCTCTGTTATGTAATAGTTTTCATGGAAACGTCATTATGCAAGCAGGGTTGCTTACATCACCGGCCATTGGCTCCTCTCCCCTCAGAAGGTTGGGGGTGGGGGCAAGGCCCAGCTTTCTAATCTCCCTGGTCTTCCCGGTCATGAGCTCCTCTGTGGAACTGGACACCATTAGTATAGAAGAGACTGAGCCCTCCAGGGATTCCTAGGGTTGTAGGGTTGAATGTCTAGAACAGGGATACGACCAAGTGCATTTCTTACTATGCCACCATAAGGATTGTTTGAATAACATTCAGTATATGTGTATACATTATGTACACTCACATACATCTGTAGACACACAAAACTGTCTTTAGAAATAAATATATGGCTTTTGGAGCTCCCCTGGTGGCTCAGCTGGCGAAGAATCCGCCTGCAATGCGGGAGACCTGGGTTCGATCCCTGGGTTGGGAAGATCCCCTGGAGAAGGGAAAGGCTCCAGTATTCTGGCCTGGAGAACTCCATGGACCATATAGTCCATGGGGTCGCAAAGAGTCAGACACGACTGAGCAGCTTTCACTTTCACTTTCATTTTTTGCTTCAAAGAGGGCAGTTTAATCAACCTGACTTGTTTTGATCATGAAGATCATTACTACTGGTTTTATATGATTTAGGTAATCATCTTTGCCCTGTGTTCCTGGTGTCTGTATGATGGGGGAGAAATCCCCCTTTTGGAAGATGGCAATGGATCAATGGGGTAAAATATACTTGTTAATTTGGAGTTTGAAAGAGCTCAGTACAAACATTCCTTTTCCTCAGAGAGAGAGACTTCAATAGAAATCTGGTGACTTTAACCATCTTTTAAAATGCCTTCCATTTTTGACACATACTTCATTTTGATTTTAAAAGTAGTGTGTCAACCAATAACTTCTATATGTGCTCCTAGCATTTCTGAATTGCTTTAATATGAGATCCTATTTACCTCTTAATAATTAGCTAATTATTAAGATTAGTAATTAATCTAATTACTAATTAGAGTAATAATGAGCTAAGCAATTCCACAGATATTTGTAAGCCCCCATTCTGCCCTCGGTGTTGAATGAGTGAAGATGTCAAGGTGGATATGGTGTGCTCATCCAAACCTCGGCACAAATCCTGCTTCCAGGCGGGTTGGCTGTTAGGCCTTAGTCCCTCTCAGAGACTAAGTTTCTACACCTATAAAAGGGGCAGTCATATAGATGTCTACAGTGACTTTAGGTTTGTAAGAGATAATGTCTGCACCACGTGGCAAATCACAGCAGACATTCAACAGAAAGGGGCTGCAGTCACTGCCGTATTCCACAGGTTGTATGAAAATCTCGCTGCCATTGAGCCTCTGCTTCATAATGCCACACCGCCTCCTTTGCTTCTCATTATAACTCTAGGAAATAGGAATTGTTCTTATTTCTATTTACCAGTGATTTAAGTAACCTGACAAGGTATGCATAGTAAAAAGTGGAAGAACTAGGATTTATACTCATGCAGACTCCAGGGTGTACATTTTTCAAGTTGGCATGTTTTTGTCTTTTTTTTTCCTCCAAAGAGCACAAGATCTCATGAAGCACACAGATCCAGCATTGCAATATAGTATGTTTAGTGATGATAGAGTGGCAAAAATGGTCAAGTCCTCCAGATGAGGCAAAAAGATGGGGTGGGGCCAGCAGGAAGCAGAGCAGAGACAAGGAGACCATCATGGGGAAATGAACACGGAAGCACCTGTGAAGGATGAGTGGTGTTTGATAAACTGCAAGGAAGGGATGTTGATTTCAGGAGGTGCAGTTACAGATAGCTGACTGTTGTTCAGAAGTGGACTGTAAAAGTCAGGGGATGGAAGTTCAACTCTAGGCAGGCATGGCTTAAAGCTAAAGATTTTATTGTGTTTTTCTAAGGAGCTTAGATGGTGTGGAGATTAAGTTCAGAGTTACAATGGTAGACCTTCACAGCTGGAGGTGAGCAAAAAGGAGGGCTTGATGAATTCCAGGATTCTGCTTTGGGGACTGTTATGGACTTAATTACTCATTACTTTGCCAACAAAGGTCCCTCTAGTCAAGGCTATGGTTTTTCCAGTGGTCATGTATGAATGTGAGAGTTGGACTATAAAGAAAGCTGAGTACGGAAGAACTGATGCTTTTGAGCTGTGTTGTTGGAGAAGACTCTTGAGAGTCCCTT